CCAAGCCCCCGGCACCGCAGTTTCACAGACATGGACCCCCCGGCCCTCTAGACATCCAACCTTCGAGCAGCCCGCGGGTGTAGCCAGCTACCTCCCGAAGCCCAAGGCGTTGGGTTTCCGCTTCCCACAAAGAAGGGCGGGCTCCTGACCGGCCAAGCCCACGTCCAGTGCCCTGCTGCCCGCGGTGGAACGCCTGGGGAAATGGGGGCAGGCCCCCAGAGCCCCGCCCACGCCTCTACGCGGCGCGCACGCGCAGATTCCAGGAGTGGGAGTGCTGTGTGGGGGCAATCTGTGCGTGCGCGTCCCACCTCTGCGCATGCGCACCCCCGGGACGAAGTCGGTCTGCACCTGGGCCGCCGGTCTCCCCGGAAGGTGGCGTGGAGAAGCTAAAAACGTATTTCGTGGTTACGAGTACTGAGCAAATCCTGGGGTCCCGGAAAGACAGCAGCCAGGATGTCAGACCCCTTCCCCGGCCAGGGGGTCCCCGCGAACGGGCTGCCCCTGCCTTTGCCCCCGTATTGTGGAAACCGTTGCCACCAGTGGGCGGCCGCCCTGAGGAGGGAGTTTGCCGGGTGCCCGCCCCCTGGAGACACCCACTGCGACCCACGCAGTCCCTTGATCGTGGAGTTGTTGCTGTGGGGAGCTGGCCGCAGATCAAATAAAAAGCTGTCAGGTGCTCAGTGGAGAGAGCATCGGCCTGCGGAATGAAGTTCGAGTTTGATCAAGGGACACGCCTGGGTTGCGACTGCGGGCTCGAGCCCCAGTAGGGGGCGTGCAGGAGGCAGCGGATCAATGATTTTTATCATTGATGTTTCTTTCTCTCCCTCTCCCTTCCTCTTTGAAATTTAAAAAACAAACAAACAAACAAAAAACAGCTGTCAGTGGTAGGGGTCAAGCAGGGCCAGCGCTGCCCCAGGGGAGGCCGCTGAGCCACGGTCCAGGTGACAAGAAGAGGTAGCCCCCTTCTCGGGGAAGCCTCCCTGGGCAGATCAGAAGGGAGGCGAGAAGCATCATGGTCCTGTTTGCTCCAGACTCAGGGCCTGGCTGTGGCCCCCATTGGGAACCTTACTCTGGCATCCCACCCATCATAGTCTCCCCCTGCCCCCACTTACTACTACCTGGGCTCCTCTTCCCCCCACCCTCCTGCTGCCACAAGGGTTGCCCCAATTAAGAAATGCTGAGGAGATTGCTGGGGGTCTCTTCAGCCTTTGGCCCTGGTGTGGAGGGTGCAAAACAGCCATCACCTGGGCCCTGGCCCAGGGGCCTGCCTGTGTTCCTGGCCTGGCGGAGGGTGAGGATCTCCTGTCCCCCTTCTGCCCACCTTGCTCCCCTGCTCCCCTTGGGCAGGGCCCCCTCACTGGACTAGAGCTGCTGGGACCTCACCAGCCTCTAGGGCAGTGGTTCTCAACCTTCCTAATGCCGCGACCCTTTAATACAGTTCCTCATGTTGTGGTGACCCCCAACCATAAAATTATTTTCGTTGCTACATCATAACTGTAATTTTGCTACTGTTATGAATCGTAATGTAAATATCTGATATGCAGGATGTATTTTCATTGCTACAAATTAAACATAATTAAAGCATAGTGATTAATCACAAAAACAATATGTAATTATATGTTTTCCGATGGTCTTAGGCGACCCCTGTGAAAGGGTCTTTCGACCCCCAAAGGGGTCGCGACCCACAGGTTGAGAACCGCTGCTCTAGGGGCTGCCCATACTCAACAGGGATTCCTCCTGCCTCAAACACTGATGACCTCCTCTCCTGAGAGGCTGCGGGCTCTTGGCGCTATGAGCCAGGAGCCCAGCCTCCCCCAAGCCTGACCACCTATGTGTTCTAGACCTTGCCTCTGACCCCCAACATTATAAATACTCCAAGACTGTTCATGCAAAGTGCCTCCAGGGGTCCATACCTCCAAGGTGGGGCACAGAACCTTCAGGTGGTGTAGGCTCCCAGCCTTGGAGAGCTGACCCATGGCCAGTTGTCTGCAAGGGCTCATGTGTCCTTAGGAAGGTCCTTTAAAAACATTTCTTTTTAAATCCACACCGGAGGATATTTCCCCCATCAAGTTTTAGAGAGAGTGGAAGGGAGGGAGGACACAGGAGAGAGAGAGAGTGAGATAGAAACACTGATCAGTTGCCTCCCACACACAGCCTGACCAGGGCTGGGAATTGAATCCGTAACCCAGATATGTGCCCCTAACCGGGAATCAAACAAACCTTCGACCCTTTGGTGCACTGGACTGACACTCTAACCATTCGGCCACACTGCCAGGGCTAAAATTATTTTAATTATGAGAAATATAGACAGGAAGGAGCATGTGAAAGATACACAGTTTTAAAAAGAACAAGATGGCTTCCTGTGATAAGGAATTTACCTTCCTCCTGATTCGGTCCTAGGGGCATCTTCAGACCATATAGGTATGGGGATTCCAGCTGTGACTAGCAGATCTGTCAGGGAGCCAGAAAGTGCCAGGCAGTTACCTAGGGAAACTGAGGCCCTGGTGCTTTCCTGAGGTTATGTTAGGAACCATAGCCCCTCTTCCCTGGTGTTCTGGGGATAGACAACCTGGAGACTTATTGAGTGGAGTGCCTGCCCAACTTTGGCCAGGAAGGGATGAGGTGAGCTGACTAGAGGGCTGCCAGCCTGAGGTCCTCCACTGTCAGGCTAAAGTCTCCAGTGCCCAGATCCTCACTCCAGCCTGCCCACATGGGGGAGGGGAGGGGGCTGGGGTTGAACTCCTCCCCTCTGGGAGTCCCTGAACTTACTATCCAGGTATGCTGAACATTAAGTCCCCCAAGGAAGGTGGCTGAAAGGATGGAAGGACAGTTAGAGCAAAGGGGTGGGAAGGAGAGGGAGTAGGAAATGTTCATACTCCCCAGGACCCAAGTTGGCAGGCATCTCTGCATCTTTGTGTGCAGCACCTGTGAAGTGGGCAGTGTTCACCACAGGCTAATGACTCAGAGGGGTTGCAAGTCCACTCAAGGTCACACAGCTAGGGTTGAGCTTCTGGAACTCACTATGCCCTCAGCATGCCTGTTGACACACCTTTGCTCTTCCTCTGCTCCCCTCCACACCCCCAGCCTCTCAGGACACTAAAGCTTCAGCATTTCTACAGGCTGCAATGTTATCTCCCCAGTGACAGGGAGCTCACTACTTAGTCAATATACTCAACATTCAGCACCTAGTTGCACAACGTTATCCTCTTGAAAGGATCCCTGGTTGGTGGGGGGAAAAGAAGGCTCTCTGGCTCCCTGTGCTCTGCCACATGCTCCTGGCTCCACTGGGCTGGCCTCTATGGGTCCCTTGAGCCCAGCGGGGACTCTGAGACTGATTTCTGTCCAGACAGGAGTGGGTGTGGAGAGGCCCCCGCCCTTCTGTCTGCTGGGCCCTGCTCCCTCATTCTGTTCCAGGCCCATTCTCAAAGCCGGCCCTCCTGCATGCCCCTCCTGATGCAAGCTGCAGGAATTATTACAGCTGTTCTGAAGCACAGATCCTGTGAGGGGGCCTGCAGAGCCCCCATACCCACACCAAATTCCCCACCCCACCCCAGGTAGCCCTGCTTCTTGGCCTAACCTGGAGTCTGGAGCCCGCCAGGCCTTGACTCCTATTGTTGTAGTCATGCACCTGCCTCAGTTTCCCCATCTCATGCCAGCCCCTCCCTCCCTGCATCTCTCTTATGATCCCTTGGCAGAGCTTATGGAGCTCCTTTCCATCCCCGAGACAGGCCAGGACCATTCCCTGAGGGTCCTGCCCCCTCTCCTGTGACACTGTTTAGGGTGGGCAGCTCCACTGGGATTTCCCAGGCACTGTGGCTGTCCCTGGAAGTCTAACTCCACAGGGCAAGGATGTTTTCTGCATAGTTCTCAGGCTCCCCCCGTACCTGGTGGGCAGCAGGTGAGGCAAGTATGGGATGTCCTACCCAGCAGGGCTCATACAGGGATGCTGAAAACAGCTCTTTGCTCTTAGGAAGACTCTGACCGACATGAGCATTTCCTTCCATTTGGAATGTAGGCAATATTCCCTAACACTGTGTGCACGGGACCTATGATTGTGCCAGCAGCAGAAACATCAGACATGTTCATGTCACATCATGGCTGTTGCAAGAACTATGAAATATTATTTTTGCTCCCCACTCAGCTGAAATTATGAGGTTGTCAGCTGGCTTTGTCACCTCCAGTGCTAATAACTCAGGCTGACATCCATAACAGACGCACCCCGTGTCCCCTTCTGCACAGCGCTTCCATGTTTCCTGGCCTTAAGGGGGTGCAAGTGAGACGCAGTCAGCTGGACACACTGGAGGTATGCAGTCTGGAAAGTTCTGATCACACTTGGTGCATCTCAGGATCCTCGCCCCCATCAAGGTAATAGAAACCTGTCACCCCTTAAGTCACATCCTACAATAGACATAGCTTTTGATAACTGGATCTGTTTTTCTGAAATGGTGTGTTTTATTTTAGGCAGTGATACATCCTTCTTTAGCAAAAGGATCCCATCTTCACCAGTCTGCTAGGGGAGTCCTGGATGCACACACAGCCTCCTTACTCTGGACACCCCCAACAGTGGCGCCCAACACCTGCTGGGTCCAGAACCTCCCCCCCCCCCCCCCCAGGACTTTGGCGAGTAGTCTGCCTGCACCCAGTGCAGCCCCTGCCACTGGCCTTACTCTTCACGGTGGTTAGGGTGGAGTTGCTGGGAAGAAAATATCAATAG